GAATTTTTGGAAGGTATCCTTTTTGAAAGCAGAAATAAAATTTCCTTGATTAATCTTTTTTAATTTGAAACGTCGTCAAAAATTTGGAAATTTTCAAAGTTTGATTTGTGGAAAAATAGCTAGACAATGTCAATAATTAAGACTTGAGCAATGTTATTATGTATTTTTCAACGATTCAAAGTCAATAATGTGCATATATGATCCAAATTAAATATATAGCTTATTCCCCGGATCATTACATAATCACTCAGATATAACGCCGAAGTTCCCGAGAGTAGAAAATTTATTAATTGCATACAGACTCCAGAGTGTACTATAGATTTTCGATCGAGATTCGATTGATATATCAAATGTATCAAGGGAAATAAATTAGCTTTAGTTGATAAACTGTCCTGATAAGGCTCGAAAGTTTCACTTGGAGATTTGACCTCGGGTTCAACAGATGCCCACCGACGAATACTCATGATGATCTTGATATATTAAGTTGAGGCGTAACCTTTAACAGTTAGCTATTCATTCCAAGGCAGCTCAGCCAAATAAGAGCTGATATTGGTGAAGCCGATACTTCGATCACAGAGGTACGTATATGTTAGCATCACACAATACATTCAATTAAAGTACAATGAAAATTTAGAAGATATATACATGACAATATCAACATCTTGAGATTACCCCGTAAAATCGTAGAACAGTTTATAATGAACTTTATCTATAGATCGGCTAGGTACTAGCTGTTGCAGGCAAGCTTTAAATATAAATATTATATCATGCTCAATGAGGTATTAGCTAGGGCATCTTTTTGGATGAGAGTAACGTTTTTGAGGTATAGGAATTATTTAAATCCAATCTAGTATATATATTTGAAACAGAGTACAAAAAGCGAATCTGAAATGTGCCCTTTCTTGACCTTAAGGTGTTCTTTCGTATGTGCAAAACCTTCCAGAAGGAATCCTTTAGGCAAGCTGCAAGGCCTGTTCTGTTCAAAAACATGTAGTATTAGGCAGAGACACCTCTTTGTATTGGAAAGAGCTCCGCCCATTGGCGGTGTCTTAGGTATATAGAAGTTGGAGCCTAGACAGAGCTCGTAGGCTTCACTGTCCAGCCTACTGCCTAGATTCCAACAAAAGTTAGACAGAAGCTCCAGAGAGCTCGGCCAAGGAAGTTTAACATAATTCCGATTCTGGTGCTGCTCTTACCAAAATGCCAAAAGCGAGAGAAAAAAGCCAAAAATCACCAGCATTTTAAAAAAAATGGAATTCAATTTGGGAAACCAGCGTTCTTGAAGTTGGGAATCGTGACTTTTAACAACAAAACGTTTCAAAGGGAATTTTGTAACATTCTGTTTCTGATCACAAACGGTGAGATATATCAAGTCGTTTTGCACATTTTTTTTTGGTTTACTCTTGTTTGCTGCTTTCAATTCTTTTCAGCTTTTGTATTTCCCAATATCATTTATACCTTCTATTGTTTTATCCCCCATCAAAAGTCATACCACCAATTCAGGAACAATCCCCAACAGCACAACTTCACACAAGAACCTTTAACAAATGTCAAGAAACGGTACTATGGAGTCGAACATTTCGAACCAGTATTACCAGCATCAACAACAGCAGAATCTTCAGCAGTTGCAGAACCTGGAAAATAATGTTCACAATTATCAACAGTCAAAGTCCTTCACAAGCTCTGATAGTCGAAACCGTGCCATTGCTGAGGTATTGAACCCAGGTTCAGCTGTCCCCCAAGCTGAAGCCCAGAGTCAAACCCAATCCCATCAAGCCCAACAAGCTGCTAACTATCAGTCTGCTGTAGGCCGTACAGGTTCTGTTGCTTCAGCGGCTATCAATTCCAATCCAAATCAACAAAAGATACACCACCAACCTTCACAATCAAGAAGAATAAGTACACAATCAGCAGTAGGAGGAGGTACAGATCCAAGAACTCCATTTGCTGTTCAAGTTCCAACAAAAGCTAATCCAACAGAAGTCCTGGCTTTTAGATTTTCAGCTTGGAGAAGTATCATAACTTCATTATTACAATACTTGACAGAGATTGTTAGTATCCAAGATGAAGTTGTTCGTCAACAAATTAGACTATCTCATGCAGTAAGTTTCCCAGCATTCCAAGACACTTCAAAGACGAATCAACCTATTCAACATGGTGAAGATACTATACACCAGAATTTTTTCCTTCCAGTAGGCAATGGCTCAATTCATGATTTACCAAATGTTTTAATTAATTTCCATTCAAGCTCTGCAAATCTGGCTTCTAAAGCTTCCAAAGAATTAAACACAAATGTTATTCCAAGATTAGATGATTTAAGAAGAGAGTTACTAGTGAAAATTAAAGAAATTAAAGGTCTAAGTTCGGATTTCAAGAACAATGTTGCTAAAGAAGTTGGCCAAACTAAAATGGATTTACAACATTTTTTGAAATCTATTGAAGAAGCTAAATATAGTGCTCACAATGTCCAACCAAAGAATGATCCATACTTAACAAAAATTACACTAGAAAAACAATTAAAACGTCAATTGGTTGAAGAAAATTATTTACATGAAGCATTTATTAATTTACAAAGTTCAGGTAAAGAATTGGAAAAAGTTGTTGTTATTGAAGTTCAAAATGCTTTAACTGTTTATGCTAAATTATTTGGTGAACAAGCACAAAATGTTTTCGATAAATTAATTTCAAATCTTGATTATGGATTTTTAACAAAACAACCATCTTTTGAATGGGATCAATTTGTTGCTAAAGATAAAAATTTTATTGATGAAAACTTACCAAAGAGGGATTACAAATCAATTCAATATGATAAAATTAATGATCCATTAACTTTTGAAGTTCGTTCTTCATTTTTAGAAAGAAGATCAAAATTCTTAAAATCATATTCAAGAGGATTTTATGTGTTGACTCCAACATTTTTACATGAATTTAAAACAGCTGATCGTAAAAAAGATTTATTACCTGTTATGTCATTACCATTAGATGATATCGAATTAGAAGAACATTCCAAAAGAGAAACTAATCAATATAAATTTGTTTTGAAAAAAGTCGGTAAATTATCTTCACATAAATTTATTTTCAGAGCTGAAAGTTATGATTTAATGTTAAATTGGTATAATGATATCAAAAATTTGAAAAATTTATCAAGTCCAACTAGTAGAGGTGTTTATGCTTCAAAGCATCATACTGCAAAGAGTCAATTATCAAGAGTTAGTACAAATACTTCAAGAGTTGTTAGACCAAATTCAGCTCATGGGTCAGCTAATGATACTGCAACTATATTATCTGCCCCTAATAATAATCAATCATTACCTCAAACGTCTTCAACTCCAATACCTCAATCCATGATTGGTCCTGATGGTGTTATTTACAAGGCAATTGGCTCAACAACTGATTTAACTCAAACCCCTCAACAAATACAAAGACAATCATTACCACCTGATTCACGTCAACAAACTCAAACCCCAGTCCAGCAACAACGTTATTCATTACAATATGCTCCTCAAGGACAACCTCAACAACAATTATCCCCTTACCCAACAACCGCACCATTCCAAGATAATCATTATCCTGTTCAAGTTCCTGCATCTACTCAATCAAATCTACCTGTTATTAATAACCAGTACCCTCAACAACAACAGCAATTATCTCCTCATCCACAACAATTTTATAGCTTACCTCAAGAACACTATTTATCAACACCAGCAATGTATGTTGAAGCACCAACACCTTTAATGAATAATTATGCTAATAATAGTCCACAGCAAACATCAAAATTTAGAAACTCATTAGATTCTTATCCTCAAGCTAATAGAGCTCCAAACGAATATGAAGCAGACGGTAGTGGTTTATCAGAAGAAACAGCTAAGACTACTAAAAAGGAAACTCATACTGGAGAAGAAGGATTTGGTCAAATGTTAAATCAACATAGATAGTTGAGAATCAAACTCAAAAGGAAAAAAGTCATCATCAAAGAAGTTGTCATTATTAATTTGATTTTTTTTTGTTTTAAGTTTTCATTTTTGTTTTCAATTCATTATCAACGATTCATTGTTTTTTTATAAAAATTATTTTTTTATTACTTGCTTCCTGTTCTCATTTACTCCCCCATATTTTAATCAAGTGTAAGTTTTAATTTCATAAAGAACTGCAGAAATATGTTTTTTTTTCATTTTATCTGCTCATTATATTCATTTTTTAATTTATTTTAAAAAGAATGACATTAACATGTATCAATTTTTTTTAGTGTATATTATATTATCAGCATTCATATTTAAATTTACATTAGCTTAAATACTGTGAAGTTTGAATTGTATGATATTACCATATTGTAGCACATATAAGACATGACTGTTGTATTGATTAATTCTTTATACCTTTGACTATAGAAACGATTAATCCCACGAAGAAGACAATTCCTAGAATTAAGAAATTCAACTTTGGTGAAGTTTTAGGAATTTTTTCAATTTTTCCAATTGCTTCAATCCATTTTAAATCGAATGTTTGATCAGAAAATTTTGTTAAAACACATTCCTTACCTCTTTTTGTGATTTGTAATTTTTCATCATTTGTTAAAGAAGAAACTTCAATGAAAACTTCTGATAATGAAGGATATTTTGATTGATCATTTAAATTATTAAAATCTGGATCTGTTTTATCTTTAAAGAAAAATCCAGTTCTATTATTGATTGAATTATGATCAGATTGTTTTTGTAATTTTGAATCCCAAGGTACTACAATATCTAATAATGGACCAGCACTTGCATGAACCAATGGAACAAGACCACTTGCAACGTATTCCACAACAGCAATACCAAAATGTTCATTCCACATGGCATTTAAACCAAATGAAGATTTTTGTAAATATTGTTGAATAACTTCATATTTAGCATCAAGAATGAATTCAATATGACTTTTTGGAATTTTCAAATCATTTGCTTGTTTTTGTAAATCTTTAACATAATCTTCATCAGATTTACCTCTTATAGATCCAATAAGTACTAATTTTGGAGCTTTTGATAAATTTGTTATTGTTTGTAAAAAAATTGAATATTCTTGTAATATTAAACCATGTCTCTTTTCAGGACGAAATTGAGCAACAGATACTATGGTATTTTCCCTATTCCAACTTGAGCCATCATCTAATTTAACAAAATTTTCAGTTGAACAAGGTGGATAAATTATACTTATATCTTTATTTTTCCACCATATAGATTTAATATGATTAAAAGTCCAAGTAGAATTTGTTGTTGCAATATCAGCATAATAACCTGCAATTGTATAGATAAACATAAATATTTGCCAATAGATATACTTGATAATTTGTTTTAATCCATAAATAGAAGTGAATGAAGGATTTAATTTACCCAACATATCTTTTGAAATAACTGGATAATGTGTATAAGTTAAAATTGGAACTCCTAAAAGATAATGAATTAATAGATAAGTGAAAGGGTACCCCATAGTTTCTACCCAAACATCAGGCTTGAATTTGGTAGCAGCTTCATAAGCTAATATAATTGAACCAATAGCTTGACCTAATAAAGTTAAAATTGGCCAAGTTTTAGGATCAACTAATGATCTATTATTCAAGAATATGAATTTTAATCTATTATTCTGAACTTTTGATAAATCAATATTGAATCTTTTATTCACATTGAAAACAATCTCATCACTTGAAGAATCAATATCCCCTGTATATATCACCACTTTATTGGATCTATTATTGTTTAATGTAGCTTCAACAGCTTGCCAAAGAACACGTTCACCACCACCACCAGCGTTACAATATGGATGGAAATATCCAAATGTTTTCCCAGAAGACATGATTTCTAGCACTTTTGAACAACAAAACCTCAAAACCAACTATGACCAGTTTCAATTGAAAGTTTCAATCAAATCAAAAATTTTGTTGTTGTATTTTGTTTACCATACAAAAAAATATCAAACGTATGGAATTTTCAACACATAAGCGGAATCGCGAAACAGAACACCATATACTAAAATTTACTAAAATACTACTATTTGAAAACTACAATTTTGCTTTTTTTGGTTCATAATTTGCGTGTATTTATCCTAAGATGAACGTTGATCTCCCCTTTAAAACCCATTTGTATATCCATTGAATTGTTGTTTATTTTGTTCCTTGTTATCGTCATGTACCAACATCTCTATCACCAGATTTTGTAAAGGTCCGAAATCTTTATTTGCAATTAAATTGAACTCATCTGAAAATAACAAGAAATGTTTAAAACTTGTATTTAACAGCGTGTTAAGTCCCAATTCTATAACTTCATTGAAATGATGACAATAAATATGAGCATAAATACGGAACAGTCTCTTCATTATGGTTTTAACTAATGATTGGAATTGTGGAGGGAAAGGTTGATTAGCCATTGATGGGAAAATATTTTCATCATCTAATAAAGATTGAATCCATAACATAAGAGATTCAACATATTTTGGAGCACTAACAGAGACTGGTTTTGTTAAATTGGAATCTTGCCATAAATATTCATATTCACTTGTTGCAGTCATTCTTGGACATGATTTTGGAGAGCAAAATTCCGTTATGGTACCATATAGCATATTGATTTGATTATAGAAATCCACAACATGAACAGCTAACCATTCATTTACGTTTTCATCTTTTGGTAATTTAACAGCTTGAGCCAATGCTATTCCAGATCCTAAAGTTGATTCCACAATTGTTTTAATATCTTTATGTGTTGTAACTGAATTATAATTTTGATTATAGTTATTGTTATTATTATTGTTGTTATTGTTTGTATTTTGACCGTTAATACTTGGTGTAGAGTTATTCCATTGTGGTTTTAAGGAAGGTTGTGGATATGGGAATTGTTGAAATTGTTGTTGTTGAGCTCCATTTATATTATTATTATTGACACCATTGCCATTTGAATTCGGGGTATTAAATAAAGGCAGAACGGGAGATGATCCATCTGGAGAACCATTAACTTGCTGATTTCTCTTGAAACCTCTTGTTGTTTTTATAGTATGACCATTATTCAAGTGTCTAAGACCAAAAGAAATGTTAGTATATGATCAAAGCTTTATAAACAAGACACAAATAAACAGATCAGTAATACATACAAACTCTGGAAAAAAGACATGATTCCTTTTCAGTTCTTTGTTGGGTATCAGAGTGAAGGAAAAGAGTGATGATAATGAATAGACCGGTTTCCCTTTTATTAAGAACTTGAAAGATCAAACAAAGTGTCAAAAATTACAAGGTTAAACTGATTTTTCGTGTTTTGATGTTTTGATTTCAACTTTTCGCTAATTTTGTTTAGAAATTTCCGAAAAGAGACACAAAATGGGCGATGAGCCGGTAGACTTCCCAAATAGGAAGTCAAATGGTATTTATCGTTGGATAGCGATGGCTGAAAAACTCGTGATATAACGAGATTTACAACTTCTCGAGATTGAAAAAGTGATAAGAAAGTGGTATTGTGACATGTTATTGTTACAAATATGAGCTTGATCAGAAGGTCAAGGTCATGTCTGAACACGTTGATAATAGCTGGTCAAGAAAAGCCAAAGATATAGTGAGTATTGCGTGAACTTGGATGTTTTTTTGAATAAAGTTGGATATTATTTGAAATAGTTTCATTCTACCGTGAAAAAGCGAAATTCTAGATATTAACAATGATAACTACAATTAGACTGCAGGTTTCACAGGTGGTGCTGTCCAAGTTCTTATAGGTCAACCATTTGATCTTGTTAAAGTTAGATTACAAACTGGTCAATTTGATTCTCCAATAACTGCATTCACTTCAACTTTAAAGAATGAAGGACCAAAAGCTTTTTATAAAGGTACATTAGCTCCATTAATCGGAGTTGGTGCTTGTGTTTCTGTACAATTTTATGCGTTCCATGAGGCAAGACGTCAATTATTGAAAAAATTTGGTGAACCAGGTCAAAAAGAATTAACTTTAAAACAATTTTATTTAGCTGGTGCATTTGCAGGTATTGTTAATACTCCAATCACAGCACCTGTTGAACAATTAAGAATTATATTACAAACTCAACCATCCGGAGCTAAACAGATATATAAAGGTCCAAGAGATGTTCTTTCCAAGATTTATCAAACTCATGGCCTTAAAGGTATATTTAGAGGGTTTAATGTAACTTTAATTAGAGAAGCTCAAGCATATGGTGTTTGGTTCTTAACATATGAATTTTTAATTCAAAATGCATTAAATTCAAGAAATGGAATCAAAAGAGCAGATATCTCTACACCAGAATTATTATTATACGGTGCATTAGCAGGAGATGCCCTGTGGTTATCTTCATATCCATTAGATGTGATCAAGAGTAGAGTTCAAAGTGATGGATTTGGTGGTAATGCAAAATTTAAAAATTCATTAGATGCAGCAAAGCAAATTTGGATTTCACAAGGTGCATTGGGGTTCTGGAGAGGTATTGGGCCTGCTCTTGTGAGAGCTATCCCATGTAGTGCTGGTACATTTGCCACTGTGGAACTCACACTCAGACTTCTTGGATAGAGATGAAATAATTAATAAATGTGAATATTCTGGTATAAAATTATAAGTACAATTGAAGTTTTTCCGAAACGCATCTCCTGATTATAATTAGAGTACTATCGGAAAAACCGTTCCACACACATCCACACACCGATGGAATCCTTTAAACTTTTAAATTACACAACAAATGTTTTGTTTTTAGTTTCTTTACAGATAATTTTAAATATTAGTTAAATTTTGTTGTTGGTATTTGAATCAATTGACATTTTGGTTTCATAGCTGTTGTTAGTCCAGGAAATTCCCATTTGTCACATCATCAATGAGTGATTCCCATCTACATCCACCGGGAGAACCAAAGCAATCTTATTATTATAGTGACAATGCCATTGCTTCAAGTTCAGAAGATGAAGCTACACCACCAAAACAACCATCAAATGCTCCCCATTTGAAAGAAGATGTTTTCCAACAACCTGTTAAACATGTTCCAGACGAAGTGAAGGAAACATCAGTGAATCCTTTCAGAACAGTGTCGGATTTCAACAAAAGACCCTTGACTGATACCCCAGTTGGTTCTTCAAGTACATCTCCAAATTATTCAAACATTAATTCTGAATCTGCATCTTCTGAGAATTCACCCGAGTTAAGACCTTCAATTGATAGAGTATTAAGTGTTCCTCCAATCAAATCAAATAAAAGAAGAGCAACCGCCATTGATGTTCCTGGTGTCACAAAATCTAAAACTTCCCCAACTGGTCAAGCTGGTCCAACTGAAAGTGGTTCAAAATTGGTTATTGTTATGGTTGGTCTACCTGCTAGAGGTAAATCTTACATCACAAATAAATTGACTCGTTATTTGAATTGGTTACAACATGAATGTCGTGTTTTCAATGTTGGTAATACAAGAAGAAAAGATGGAAACCATTATGGTCCTTGTAATGGTCCTTTACCTGATGAGCAAGAACACAATCATAATGAAAATAGCGGTGCTGAACATCATGAACAACATGATGCTAGTTTTTTCAATCCTGAAAATCCCAAATATAAAAACATTAGAGAAAAATGGGCAATTGATACTTTAGATCAATTATTAGATTATGTTTTGGAAGGTTCTGGTTCTGTAGGAATCTTTGATGCAACTAATAGTACAAAGCAAAGAAGACAAAAAATTATGAAAAGAGTTCAAGAAAGAGATAAACAAATTAAAATTTTATATTTAGAAAGTATTTGTTCTGATAAAGAAATTGTTCAAAAAAATATAAGATTAAAATTAAGTGGTCCTGATTATAAAGATATGGATCAAGATTTAGCATTAAAAGATTTCACTGGAAGGTTAGCAAATTATGAAAAAGCTTATCAAACTATTGAAGATGAAGAAGGTTTACAATATATTAAAATGATTGATGTCGGTAAAAAAGTTGTTGCTTATAATATTCAAGGTTTCTTAGCATCTCAAACGATTTATTATTTATTAAATTTCAATTTGAAAGAAAGACAAATTTGGATCACAAGACATGGTGAAAGTGAAGATAATGTTAATGGTAGAATTGGTGGAGATTCAAACTTAACTCCAAGAGGTCAAAAATTTGCAAATGCATTATCAAAATTTATTGAACATGAAAGAAATGTTTTCCGTAAATCTCAAAATGAAAAATATATTGAATTAGAATCAAAAGGTGAAATTCATAATATACCCACAGATCCAAATTTTCTTGTTTGGACAAGTATGTTACAAAGAGCTATCCAAACTGCAAAACATTTCCCAGATGATGAATATTATGTAAAAGAAATTAGAATGTTGAATGAATTGAGTGCAGGTATTTGTGAAGGTTTAACTTATGCTGAAATTCAACAAAAATATCCTGAGGAATTCAATTCAAGAGTTAAAGATAAATTAAGATATAGATATCCAGGTATTGGTGGTGAATCTTATTTAGATGTTATCAATAGAATGAGACCAATCATTAATGAAGTTGAAAGAACTACAGATCATGTCTTATTAATAACCCATAGAGTTGTTGCAAGAGTATTATTAGGTTATTTTATGAATTTAAATAGAGATCATATAACAAATTTAGATGTTCCATTACATTGTGTTTATTTATTAGAACCAAAACCTTATGGAGTTGAATGGTCACTGTTTGAATATGATGAAACAAAAGATTGGTTTTATAAAGTTCCAAAAGATCAATTACATCAGAAAAAAGTTCAAGAAGTTGATGTTGCTTTTAAAGAACGTAAATATTCAGTTGTACCAACTTTACCACCAAATCTGAAACCAAATTATAGTACAGGATCAGTACCAAATGTTAATAACTTACCAGGATCATCATCATCATCCTCGTCAAATCCAAATACTATAAGAATTGGTTCAAATAATCCATTGGAACAATTGAATAAGGCAAGAGGTAATCCAAATTTAAGTAAAAGAAGTGCATTTGAATTGGAAAAATTAACTGAAAAATTATCAAAATTAACAAATAATGGTAATAATCATGATGGTAATTAATTTTAATGAATGAATTTTATTTCAAGATATAATATATCAAGATACAATATATTTTAAGAAATGAGCTGATATTATGATGTTTATATATAATGATTTTTTATATAATGGCTATGAAATTTAACGTAACTACATATTACTATAATCATAAAAAACACATGTAATTGATATATTTATATATTATCGAATAATAACAGGATAATCATCTTTAACGATCCAAATTATTGTAATTTTGTAGTATATAAAACCCCAAGAGAATCAACCCAATTTCCAACAGCACCAAATAATCCAATAATTTCATAACCTTCAGGTGCTTCTAATACACCTTCACCACCACCATTTGTATTACCACAATAAGGACTTACTCTACCTGTATTTGTAACAATTTGGATAGCATCAACCCATAATCCACTTCTAACTCTTAAATGAGCAATATATTCACCTGGCGATAGATTGAAATCTGTATAATTACCAGTTTGTTTACCAAATAATACACTTGAAGTTCTTCCACTATATTGTTGGATTGGTTGTTGATTTTGTGGTGATCCAAGTGTTTGATTTTTGAAACCAGAGATTAATGAACCTAATTTATTTTTATATTCTCTATTTGGTAAAGGTGGAGCTGATGTTGAAGATTGTTGATATGATGGTGGTTGAGGTGATGCACCACCTGAACTTGTAATAATTTGAATACCATCAATAGCACCACCATGATAAATTCTAACAGAAACAACTCTTGTTGGATCGAAAATGATAGGTTGACCTGGTGGTGAATTTTTACCAACAATATTTGATTTGATTGCAGTTAATTGACCTCTACCTAAACCAAAATCTGATTGAATGAAATTTGAACTATCAGAAACTAATTTTTCAAAATCATTAGCATCTGTTTGATTACCATCAACTGTTTGGATATGTAAAGAAATTTTACCATTTTGTTTATCTCTTGGTAATCTAGATTTAATTTCATCAACTGTAACATATATTTCCTTTTGAGCTCCTTGACCTCCAATAGATTTTGGTAAAAATTCAATAAAACCTTCAGCTAAATCACCTGGGAAAATTTCAATTGCATAAATACCAGTGGCAGATTTTAATAATGCAGCTTTATTACCAACAGGTAAAACTGATGCCTTACCAGATACAGGACTATTCTTAGCAAAAGTTGGATCTAAGAAATCACTTGGTAATGTAAATGAACGATGATGTAAAAATCTTAATAAATCTAATCTATGCCATGTACATTCATCTTTTGGTAAGATTGGTACAAGACCATTTTTCTTAGTTCTTGTTGAATATGATTCTCTTGTTAGGAATGATCTATTTAATGTAACATAATCTCTCAACATAACACCATTACGTTGATGAGGACAACCTAATAAATGTCCAATTTCATGCATAAAAGCACCCAATGTTATTGCCAAACATTCCCAATAAGATCCACATTCATTAGCATCATTAGCAACATCATTAGTTCTTGGAGAGGTATCCAAAAATGCAGGACAGATATGTTCAAAATAAGCAGGCCATGAATATAACCCATGAGAGCCAAAAATTGCTAATCTTATTCTATCATCACCACCACCAAGAGCAGCATGAGTTAAAATCATATTTAATTTTTGATCATAAGTAGCATCAAGGTACATAACAGCGGCTTGAACTGGTTTATTTGAATCAGTGAAAGGACCACCATAATTTCTTAATTCATCCATTGCAATACCAAATAATCCACCAGTGTTATTACCTTTTGAATTTTGTTGTGCCAAATTTGGATCTCTTAATTCTTTTAAAGTTTTCTTAGAACGAATAACATGGATTTTAATTGTACTTCTAAATCTTTGATTATCTTGTTCTTGTAAAAATTGAGTATCTTTAGTATATTCTTCTGCAAAATTAAAAGTACGATTTCCAAATCCAGCTCTAAGCATTTGTTCATTTGTAAAAGCTTGCATTAATCTAGCACCAACTCTTAATTTCTTTATAGCGATATCTAAACCATTCCCTTCTTGAGATTTTTTTTGGGGTGTTGAGTCAAAAGTAGCTGGTGAATCTTTAGCTAAAAGAACACAAAGATGAACAGGTCTATTTTGTAATAATGGGACATAATTGATTGTAAAACCGACACTATAAGGCTTATTTTTATTGGTTTGGTCATATTGAGGGAACCCACCAACAACTTGTCCTTGAGAATGGGTAAATGTCAATGGATTTTCACCAGGTTCCAAATGGACTATAGCCTTGAAGAACCCTTGGTTCACTTCGTAATGTAATGGAGGAAATGCATTCCCTTGATGGCTCACTGTTAGTACCCCGGACCCAGATACCTTGGACTCCCCATGAACAATGAGCAATGGAGTGTGTACAGTCCCATTGTGCTGAACGTTGTATATCTTGATGGACATCCTGGTAATCACTTGCAAATTCTTCTTCTGTTTGATTGAATATTGACCTCCTTCTTATTAAAATCTCAAGATTTGTTTCAGCCCACGTAATACTTTATACACTTTCTGCCCGAACCACCCAGCGCACCTTCAGGGGGTTTCCCGGCTGTTCTGAATTTGACAACGAAGTGGTTTTGAAAACAGATCAAATTGGTGTTTTGGAATCGAGATCAGCTTGTTGGTGGTTCGTTTAACAAAAAAGCTTAGTTGGATCCAATTAAACTTGTGTTTTTCTGGCTCAGAACAGGAATCCATTGTTTACACATAGAGAACTGTCTATTTATATCGAAGATTACAATTCGTTTCTAGTTTATTTGTTGAAATTATCGTTTGTTTTGGTTTCTTTGTTGTTGAGAATTTCACACTTATAGATTCCGAGTAATATCAATAAGAAGTCAACGCGTTCATCTTCCAATTTGCTCTCAACAGAACCATCAAAGTAACTAATCCTTGGTCAGATTTGAAAACCCCAATAAGAAGCTATATATTATCATATCAGATCTAAATTTTAAGTACATTATAACTACCAATTAACTTTATTATCAAAAAATGTCCGGTCATAGAAGACGTCACTATCCACAAGCTCAATATCAAGTAAATCAACCAGCTGCAAATATCCCTCCAGCAGGTCAAGCAGGTGTTGTCCCAGGATATCCAGGTCAAGCTCCATATGCTGCTAATCCAAATCCAGCTTTAAATGGAGTTAATGGTGTCCCAGGTGCCCAAGGTGCTACTCCAGCTTATTACACACCAGGTGCTGCTGCTCCAGTTGCAGGTGGTATCAATGGTTATCCACAACAAGGTCAAGATCCAAGCATTGATGCTGCTACTCAAGGTTTCAGTAATATGAATATCCAAGGTATTCCAACTTTACCTCAACAACCTACTCAAGGTTATCCTCAACAATCAGTTTATCCAGGTGCACCAGTAGCACCAGTTGCACCAGTTGCAGGTGGTTATAATGGTATTACTTCACCACAAGATGCTGCAAATGCATTGAGACAAACTTTACCATTGAATCAATTATATCAAACAGATTTATTGAAAGAATTACCACCTCCAATTCAAGATCTTTCATTACCACCACCACCTTTAGTTATTCCATCTGATGCTACTTTAATCCCAAATAATCCAAATGCTAATACTCCACCAGAATTTACAAGATCAACTCTTAATGCTATCCCAACTACTCATTCATTATTGAAAAAATCAAAATTACCATTAGCTTTAGTTATTAGACCATATATTTCATTGAAAAATGAAACTAAACCTGTTGCTACTGTTGGTGATGCAGTTATTTCACGTTGTCGTCGTTGTCGTTCATATATTAATCCATTTGTTCAATTGACTAATAATAATACAAGATGGAGATGTAATTTATGTTCTTTAGTTAATGATATTCCTGCCGCTTTTGATCATGATGCATTCCAAAATGTTCCAGCTAATAGATATGAAAGATCTGAATTAAATCATTCAGTTGTGGAATTTATTGCCCCAAAGGAATATGCTGTTAGATCTCCAGAACCTTTAACTTATGCATTTTTAATTGATGTTTCTATTCATTCAATTAGTTCAGGATTATTAGCAACTGTTGCAACTACTATTTTAGAAAGTTTAGATAGAATTCCAAATGAAGATACAAGAGCAAGAGTTGCATTCATTGGTATTGATTCTTCTTTACATTTCTTTAATATACCAGAAGATACTGAAGAAGGTGAACCTTCAATTTTGGAAGTTCCAGATGTTGATGAACCTTTCACTCCTTCTCCAGATAATTTATTAGTTAGTTTAAAAGATGCTAGACAAAATATTGAAAAATTATTATCAAATTTACCAAATTTATTTGCAAATAATGCAAATCCTTCATTTGCTTTAGGTCCTGCTTTACAATTTGCTCATAAATTAATTGAAAGTTCTGGAGGTAAAGTTATTACTTTTGGTTCAACTTTACCAAATGTTGGTATTGGTAAATTAGCATTAAGAGATGAAGAATCAGTTTATGATAAACCAAAAGAAGCTTCAACTTTATTAAGTGTTGCTAATTCATTTTATAAATCATTTGCAGTTGATTGTAATAAATCTCAAATTACAGTGGAATTTTTTTTAACTTCTTCAAGTTATCAAGATGTTGCTACTTTAGCTAATTTACCAAGATTTACTGCAGGTCAAACACATTTCTATCCAGGTTGGAGTGCTGCAAGTATTGAAGATGTTACAAAATTATCAAAAGAAATTTCAAATACTTTAAGTTCAGATATCCCATTAGAAGCTGTTTTCAGAGCAAGAGGTTCAAGTGGATTAAGAATGAGTGGATTCTATGGTAATTTCTTTAATAGATCATCAGATTTATGTTCATATCCAACATTCCCAAGAGATCAAAATTTAGTTGTGGAAATGTCTATTGAAGAAAACATTACAAAACCATTTGTTTACATTCAAAGTGCAATTTTGCATTCAACTCATTATGGTCAACGTAGAATTAGAGTTATTACAACTGCAATTCCAACAACTTCAAATATTTCAGAAGTTTATGCATCAGCAGATCAATTAGCTATAACAAGTTATTATGCTCATAAAGCTGCAGAAAAAGTTTATTCTTCATCATTAATTGATGCAAGAGATTTATTAAACAAATATTTGATTGATTTATTAAATGTTTTTAAAAAAGATGTTGTTGCAAGTAATACAGGAGGTATTTCACCATTAATGTTTTCAACTAATTTAAGAATGTTACCATTATTAATTCATTCTTTAACTAAAAATATTGCATTTAGACCAGGTAGAGTTCCATCAGATCATAGAGCTAATGCATTAAATTTAATAGGATCAATTCCATTACCTCAATTAATTAGATTTATTTATCCAACAGTTTATTCATTACATGATATTCCAGATAATGTTGGTTTACCAGATGAAGAAACTGGAGAAATTGTTTTACCAGATGCAATTAATGCAGGTGCAGAACATTTTGAAAGATATGGATTATATTTAATTAATAATACAACTGATTTATTCTTATGGGTTGGTGGTGATGCTGTTCAAGGTTTAGTTAATGATGTTTTCGGTATTCCAGATATTTTCCAAGTTCCAATTGGTAAACATGAATTACCAGTTTTAGAAAATGATTTTAATGAAAGAGTTAGAAATATTATTTCAAAAGTTAGAGAAAGTCATGATACTGTTATGTATCAAAACTTGTACATTGTTAGAGGTGGTTCTACTGCTGAACCTATCAATGCTGCTAATGCTAGAGAAGTTTCATCATTAAGATTATGGGCTGCTTCTAATTTAGTTGAAGATAGACATAATAATTTACCAAGTTATCGTGAATTCTTATCAGCAACAAAAGAAAAATTATCTCAATAGGCTATGTGAGCTTGTTGTAATTTATGTATAAAAGAACTGTTTGTCATATTAATAAGAGGAAGTAAAATATATAAAATGTGCTTTTTTAAAACTAGAATTGTATCCGATATTATACCGCAGTGTCTCGTAACAACTATAATAAACCGAAATATACCCAATGCAGCAATTCCGACCAGCGAATAGAAATTTGTTTAAACCATTTTTAAATTTTCACGAATGATTTTTTTTTTCCCAAACAGTTTTTGGAAATCAGTCAAAAACAATATTTGAAATCTTTTTGTATACGTTTTATATAAGGGAGCAAATTAATTTGATAATCATTTTTATTCAAAAAGTTCAGGAACTTATATAATTGTGATATCTTTGATAAAATTAACATAATAAAGATGCTACGTTCATTTGCTTCAACTTCTAGAAATGTTGCTAGAATTAATCCAGTTAGATTAGCTTCAACTCATGCAGTTTCAAATGCTTCAATTGTTGAAATAGAAAAAAGATGGGAATCACTTCCATCAGTTGATCAACAAGATATTGTTTCTCAATTAGCTGAACGTCAAAAATTACCATGGGGTGAATTAACTCAAGCTGAAAAAAAAGCTGCTTGGTACATTTCTTATGGTGCATGGGGTCCTCGTCGTCCAATTCATCCAAAAGGTGAAGCTGGTAAAATCGCTACTGGTGTCGCCATTGGTCTTGGTGTATCATTAACTATCTTTGCTACAGTCAGATATAACTCTCCTGGTGCTCCAAAAACCATGAACCGTGAATGGCAAGATCAATCTGATGAATACTTGAAATCAAAGAATGCTAATCCATGGTCTTCATACTCTCAAGTCCAATAAGCATTTAATATTCATCAGTAAATTACAAGTCATTTTCAACAATACATTCATACACACAAACCTCTTTTATTAAAAAAAAAATCAAAATCTATTAGAACAAAAAAAAATCATATTATGATATAATAATAAATCTTTCTATTCAAAATGTTTTCTCATTATTTATTATAACTTTACACACAATATTTTACGGAATCAAGTTTTTTTTTTTTGGCATTTTTTTGGATTGAGGAGATCAAGATTAAATATTCTTACAACTTTTGGATCATTTAACGTTTGAAACAATTTACAATATCATAATTAATTTATCATTTTATGTTCCAATTTGTTTTTTATTTTTTTTGAATTTCCACATATCATTCAACGATTATCCATTAGCATATGAATTATATTAAATATAAATCAATTTCATTCCAAACCCCATGTAGAATATCACTTTTCATAATCTTTGTAATGTAAAAATGTCATGTTTTCTACTCGTTGAATCTTCGGGGACTGAATGTCCCTAATAGTGCACCAACCGCACAGATCGCGAATTTGGGCAAAAAAAATTAAATTTTGTATAAGCGATGAGATTGAATTTTGTATGAGAAAAGTTGGAATTAGTTGAAGTATAAGACAGATTAAAGATGTCATTTTCGTTTGGATTCAGTGCAGAGAGTGACGATGAGTTCATAGAGTCCGGAAATACTGCTCAAATCAATCATAACGAACTAAAATTGGATCAAAATCCATTGGATGTGGAAAATTCAGAAGCTAAAGCTCCAAAAATTGAAGATTTTAACCAAGTTTTAGAATCTTTGGTGGATGTTAGAATAACATTTGAAAAAGTTATCACACCACAAGGTCAAACTGTTTTCAGAAGAGAATTATTTGATGTTAAACATCAATTGATGAACGAAGAAGGTAGTGAAAAACAAGATGAAGAATTTGGTATATTAATGGGTACAGATACTTCAGATCTACAAAGAAACATTTATGAAGGTGGGTTGAAAAGTTGGGAATGTTCAATTGATACAGTTGACAAATTGTCTGCTTTGGAAGATCAAGTATTGTTCAATGGTGAGATTGTAGAATTAGGCTGTGGTACTGCTTTACCTTCAACTTATCTTTTCCAAAGAGCTTTAAGTTCTAATTTATCAAATATCAATTTTAAATTATCAGATTATAATCATTCAGTATTAAGACTTGTTACATTACCAAATTTAATTATTGCATGGTGCTCAACATTATCATCTGAAAAATTATCAAAATTACAAAAAAGTGGTGATGAAGAAATACCTATTGTTGATGATGAACTTCAATTAACACAACAATTGTTAAAAGAATTCTCAGAGACTTTGAAAAGAGACAACATTAAAATTGAATTATATTCAGGTGCATGGAATAGATCTTTTTTCAACTTAATCACTCATTCACAAACATCATCAAAAATTGGTTTAATAATCACTTCAGAAACCATTTATTCACCAGAAACATTGCCTATAATAAGTGAATTGATTATTGAATTAGTTTTTCACTCTAAAACACAACAAAATGGATCTCCTTTAGCACTTGTCGCTGCTAAAGATATATATTTCGGTGTTGGAGGTAGTCTTGTTGATTTCGAAAATTATTTAACCACAAGAATCCAACAAGGTTCAAAATTCCAGTTCCAAACTGACAAAGTGAAGGCTGGATTACAAAGATCAATCGTTAGTATACGATAAAATGGATAAAATCAGTATTATCGATTGTATTTCGAAAGAGTTTATTGTAGAAACTTGGTGAAGTAGTGGCCTGAAACCAAAAGAGATTCGCGCATAGTTTAGAAATTCGCCCAAAGGTATGTTTATACTATACGAGAAGATCACAGTTTGAAGCATTTGAATGGGCCCTTCAAAAGTCTGAATAAGCTACAAGATCTCACATTATGGAAGCAGAAAACAACGACCTCTCTGATTATGATACTTTCCTAGAGAAAGATTTCAATTCCATTGGGTTTGCAAACGATCTTTTATTAGCTACAAACTCAGATCAAAATGAATTAGATTTATCAACTTCAATAAAGAGAGTCAAATTTGATATAAATAATATTGATCTGAATTTAGATAAGATAAGTGCTGAAGATCATGAACAATTGATTGAAGAGATCCATAAAAGCAACCAATCAAAAGAATTATTTCAACAACTCTCAACACCTTTAGACCACGTAAACATTTCATATAATAGATTAGAGAAAGATATTATAGATCCTTATAAAGAGGCTACAAAAATTCAAGATGCATTGAAAAAGCTACATTCCACTTCATATCTATTGAGAGCTGTGACTTATTTCTTATATCTAGCTCAACAAATTGAAGAATTATCAACACCTGATAATTTTGATTCAAAGATTAATAAAAATTCTGGATTTTTAGTTAAACTAGCTAAATATCATCATCAATTATCTGCTCATTTCAACAAAAATACAAACTTGAAAAGCTTAAGGATAACCAGGGAATATGACTTAATTGCCCAAGAGAAAAATAATGATTTATTAAGAATATTGAAAAGTCAGGTTAAATCAATTAATGAAATTTCAATAAAATCTAAATCAGAACAAGAATTGAAAGATATATTCCATGCATTTGTCTTATCTGATAGATTGGTTCTCTATAACACAGTTTATGAATTTTTGAATAATAATGTTACACTTTCAGTGAATTTATTAACTAGGGTATTAAATTCTCCAAGAAATATTGAATCTGCATTAGACGAAGTTGCTAAAAAGGCATCATTAGTAAACTATATCGGTGAAACTTTGGATAAAATTGATTTAAATGAAGTATCTGATAATAGCTCCATTAAAAATTCAAGTAAATCAGTGTTAAATGATTTATTAAATTTCTTAGAAATGTCAAATTTATTATCAATTTTTTGGAGAGATACCGCAAAAAAATTTGAAATTAAATTCAAAGAAACAATGAATAGAGGTGGACCCGTTGGTAAATCTTTAGCAAGTTATAAAGAACAGATTAGAGCGTCGATAGTGAAAAAAGTCACACAAAGTCATTCAAGCATTAAAAAAGATGGTATTGAAGTAAGGATGATGTTGAATGCTGTATCATCACTAGATAGGAAATAAAATTATTGAATGCTACATGATATTTATCTCAATCAATATATAATACACATTCATTAAAAAAAAACGGCATAACAAAAGTCTCTATATAAACATACAAAACAAACAAAAAATTCATTGTCTCATTAACTATTCAAAAGAATATAATTACCACAGTCTTCTATTACTTCTCAGAAACACTTTCTCAACGTTATATCTATTCTTTAAAGTGTAAGGTAGTTTAATTGGTCTTTCTGTACCTGGTATAGCGCTTGAAGGTCTTTCTTTAGCTGATTCTTGTATTTTTGGTAGAGCTAAATCACCAACAGGGATTGGTGTTGTATTCAAAACAATCTCCAGAGATCTGTTTGTAACAACATCAAACAGAGAATTGAAATTTTCCTTAATGACATTCAATAAAATGTCATATTCAATAAAATGTAAACTCAAATTTAGGAATTTCTGATAATCTTCTTTTCTGCTTATGATTGTCTTTTCGGTTGTATCTAAATTTAAATTACCTAGAAATGGATACATAAAGCTGAAAAAATTATATTTATCAGTTGGTGTAAGTTCAATTCTTGATTTGAGGAGTTCAGGAAACTTCATGTAAAGATTTTCAACACCAACAATTAATATCGCTTGAATATCACAGCAATATTTAACGCCATCTCTATTGAAATAATACAATGGAATATATTTTAGAACATCTTCTTTAGTCCTGTTTGCATCAAAAGTAGCATGTTGTAGACCATAAGGATAAGCTTCACGAATTTTCTTTCTTTTTTCTGTCTCTTCTTTTTGTGACATGATTATTCTTTTTTCTTCTTCAAGTTTTGCTCTTGCTTCATTTTCTTTCATTTCTTTAATCTGTTGTTCAGCCCTATATTCAGCTAATTTTTTCAATTCTTCTTCCTTTTTCTGCTCTTCATTTTCAAAATTGATCAAAAACTGTTGTTCTCTTTCCCTACGTTTTGCAATTTTTGCAGCTTCATACTCTTCTCTTTTCTTTTGATCTTCTTTTTCTTTCAATAATCTAGCAGCTTTTTCCTCTTCAGTTTCAATATGAGGTATATGCTCTGGCTTAGAGATGGGTTCAATAGGATCTTCAACATGATCTGAGGTTGCATTGTTACTATTTGATCTTTTCATTGTTTCAGGTTTTGTAACTGATGGTTTGAATAAATCTTGTTTACGATCTGCATTATCTTTCATGTGACTTGAAGTTGAATTTTCAATTTTATTCTTTGGCTGGAGCTTTTCTTTATGTTTCACAGATTCCTTATGATCCCTATGATCTTTGTGATCCTTATGTATTTTGTGGTTTGTATTTTCTTTCTGCTCCTTGCGAGATTCACGACTTTCTTCTTCATTAGATCTTACTTTAGAACTTTCTCTTGACTTATATTGATCATGAGCTTTATCATGTTGTTTAACTCTGGTTTCCTTATCCTTTTGTTTATGATCATGTAGTGGTTTAGATGATTGCTTTTGTTGTTTTCTTCTCTCTGGATGTTCAACAAAATCTTCTTTGGTGTTTGATTTTCTCTTTTTAGAGCCTTCACGTTTTTCTGATCTATTACCAGAGCCTGATTTAGCAGCAATAGCATCTTTAATCAGCTTAATTTCATCCTCATCTCTAACAAGTGAATCTTCAGCGAATTCTAGAACACTTTTACCAGCTTTTGAATCTTTTGAAGGGTTAGATCCAGACTCGAGCAACAATCTAACAGTATCTATATGACCTTTACCAACAGAGTTCATTAAAGGTGTAGTACCATCTGCATCATAAGAGTCAGCATTGCAACCGAAAGCTAAGAATAAATTAACAATTTCATGGTTTCCATATTTAGCAGCAACTCCTAAACTTGCCTTATCAGGTTTACCCCCCAGGCCGAAATATTTACCAACAAAAGCTTGATTATCTTTCAAAGCATTACAATATAATTCTGATTTTCCTTCTTTTGTTGCCAGTTCAACAAATGTGTCATCATATTGGGTATGTTCCCTCAGAGAAAGACTATCTTTACCTTGCTCCTTTAATCTTAAATAAGCTTTTCTCATCAGATCTTTTACATAATTTGTATCTTCATCCTCTGGAACTGAATCGAATGCATTATCACCATTTGTATTCCTTTTACTTGGATCTGCACCAAATTTCAATAGCAGTTCAATTGTAGGTATATGCATGGATACAGCAGCATCAATCAATGGCGTATCAAGATCAGCTGCACCTGTTTGTTTATTAGGATCAGCTCCATTTTCTAATAATAGCTCTACAACATCCGTATGACCTTTCAAAGCAGCCTCATGTAACGCAGTATTACCAGCATAATCACTATCATTAACGTCAGCTCCTTCTTCAATCAAAAATTTAGCTTGCTCATAATGACCCTTTTCACAAACTTTTTGTAATTTAAGTCTACCTTGTGTATCTCTTGAAGTTTTCATTTTTTTGGTGTTGTGTCTATGTGGCGAGCTTGATTTTGACGCGCTTCTTCTATCTAGTCGTTCTTGAATTATCTTTTTGTGATAATCCGAGTCCTCTTGATTTGTTTTATTTGGAGTGTCACTGTCATTTAAGTCTTTGGTGATATGGCTATTTATTCTAGATGCCTTAGGGGAACCTCCATGTACTGTTTCGGCATCAGAATCATCTTCAACATTAACTTTTACTCTATCTCTTCTTGGTGTTCTGTTGAATTCAATTGTATCATCAACATCTGAAAGTTCATCGTCATCATCAATATCTGAAAGTTCATCGTCATCATCATCATCAAATATATACCTTTGAGAACGTTGCTTTTGGGGTGAAGCAACAGAATTTATTTCGGATGGAAGCTGTGACAGAGGACTTGTATTTATATCAGTATGTATTGATGGTTGTTCTTTTGAGATAGTTGTGGATGAATTTAGTTCTGTAAGTTTTTCTGATTCGTTTGAATTACTAGTTTTTTCATGCTCAACATCTTGAGGTGGTTCAGATGTAATTTTATCTGTTGATGATGATTTTTGTGAAGATTTGTCTTTGTCATTTGATTGAATTTCAGCTTTATTATCTTTCAACTCAGTATGATTTTGATCTTCTTTGGGCACATCTTGGTTGTTGAATTCTTCCTTTATATCAGTTGACTTCTCATTTGTTGGTTCATTCTTGTCTAAATCTTTCTCTAAATCTTTGTTTACGTCTTCATTTTTTTTGGACTCTGAAGCCAATGTACCTTCTTTTACTTTCTTTAAATAGTTGGAAAGTGAAAATGATTTGGTTTTTGGAGGTACGGATTCCACAGGATTTTGATCTATAAATTTGGCTTTTTGTGATTGTTGATCAATATGATGATTTTGTATAGTAGTTGAACGTGGCTTGCCATCATCATTCTGCTTATTATCCTCTTGAGAATCTATCATATTCACATCCTTCTTATTCTTGTCAACATTATTAATGTTATTATTACCTCCATTGTCTTTCGGTACATTTTGATTAGAATCCGTATTTTTACTAGCAGCAGAATTAACCCCCTGACTAGGTTTATGCACTTGATGCTTTGAAAATGGTGAAACCTTATGAGAGAATATGTTTGAACTTGATGTTGAACCACTTCGACTAGCACCTGAAGATGATGAATGGTGGCCCACCACGCCGGGGCGCTGACTCTGCCCATGACCATGTGACTGTGTCTGTTTGTGCTCTCTGTGGTGCTTATCCTGCTCCTCGCTGCCCATGTCCGCAATTGCTTATGGTTGATACCGCCTAATTCGATTGTTTTTGTTGATGTTTTATTTTGGCTTCTGGTTTAATACCACAATAACAATTAACAAAAAAAAAAAATCAAAAAGAAGCCCGCGAAAATGGTATAAAAAAGTCCGGTTCACGCAGCATCGTAGTTAACAGGAATCCATGATTTGTGTCAGAGTTTAAAATTATTTGCAATCAGTTTCTCCAGACAACATTAATGTCGATCAGAGACAGTTTGGACATAAAGATACATTTTGAGGACAATTTTGCGTGAAGATAGAGTTTCAATCTTAATTAAGAGAAGTAGCTCGTGTTAAAAAGTACTATAGCTGGTCATATGTCATATGCCATATAGCCTTAAGGTTGCAAAACGGGTTAAACGGGGACTTTTCAGTTTGCTGTTTTAGCTCAATTCAGTTCAACTTTATAAGAGTTTATGATTTAAATGTCTTGAATTCTACTGACAAGTCTACATCTATTTTAACATTTAGGTTCAAGGTATTAGGTATTAGTGAATGAATATAGATAAAGGTTTATCAAGATGGATACTATAAATAACTTCGCAGAAAAACTGGAAGGTATACCAGGATATGACATGGCTGTTGACTGGATTAATGATAAAGTAGGTGAAAAATATCAAACAAAAGGTAGGTCAACCCATTGTGTAGCTGATGAACTTCGGATTCAGTATATTGTTGATCTTGCTTGACTAACTTGAGCTTATTAGACCCATTTTATGTTGAAATTCATGGGAAGAAAAAAAGAAGGAAGGCTCCAGAAACTTGTACAAAACAAGAACAAAAAGCATGGAAAAGAATTAAAAAGAAAGCTTGGTTAGACGATAGAAACTTTTTTGGATGTTATCCCATTGATCTAGGACTAGGGTTAGCTCCTTTATTAGCTATTTTACCAGTTATTGGGCCTTTAATGATGTTTGCAGTTCATGGAAGATTAGTTAGTATTGCAGATCAAGAGTTTCATTTAAGTCCAAAATTAGTTACCCAAATGCATGGTAATATTGCATTTGATTTATTAATCTCATTTCCTCCAATTATAGGTAGTTTATTTGCTTGGTTAAATGGATGTTCAACAAGAAATGCAGCTTTAGTTCATACTGAATTAGTCAAAAGAGAAAGACAAAAGGAACAAGAAAGATTACAAAGATTAAACCTACCAAATCAACAAGCTCAATTTCATTCACCTGATAATTTAACAGGGACTCATTCTTTCAATTCAAACAATAGAGCAAATATAGGTATTGGCACAAACACCGGGGGTCAAACTTTTGATTCAAGATTTCAACAAAATAATAGACAACCATCGAATATTCATCAACCACTACCAACTCAAAAGTATCAACAATCTACAATACAAACACGACCACAACCCCAGGCAGTACCAGTTGCAGTAGCACCACGACCTATAGAGACCAAACAAATACCTACAACAAGTCCTATACGAAAACCTCCACAAGCTCATTATATGACTGCTGCACCACAATCTGCAATGACTTACAACCAATATTCAAATTTTGACCAACAAATGATTAGAGGTCGTCATTATTAGAGCGCCTGGAAGTTGTTTTGATTTGTGAATATAGATTAATATAAGATATATATGATTTTCTACAGTTAATTAGATAATAAAGCACTAGAATATAATAATATTATATTAAGAAATATTATATGTAGTTTGATTTCTCAATTAAAATCATGAACTAAAAAACACAGTTTATTTAATCAAAACGCCAACTTATACCCAAACAAAACATCCGTTATAATAACAATTGAAAACAAATAAAATATAGTATAATCATCTCAGTTGCATAAATGCATCAAGTAAAACAGATTGTGGAGCAGTATCATGTTTATTTTTTTCGAAAACATTCCAAAATCTCAAAGTTTCGTCACCTGAACCTGTCACAACAGTTTGACCATCGGGACTCAATGCTAAATACAAAACTCTATAAGTATGCCCACTCAATGAAGCAATTTGTTGCATTTGTGGATATTTCCATATCATAATTTGATTTTTGGAATATCCATGAGTAGAAACTAATTCAGTTGAATTTATTGACCAGCATAAATTACAAACTTGTGAACCTGTGTCAATATCGGTTAATTTTGTACCATTTAAAACATTCCATGTCTTTATACGACGATCAGTTGTACCACCCCCACTAGCTAAAACTCCTCTTTGATGAGGAGACCAACTTAAAGCCTTGATTGCTGCATTGTGTTCAAATCTATGTAATGGTTCTCTTGTGTTTAATCCATCCCAAACATATAATTTGTTATCATTACCACCAGAAGCTAATTTATTTTCATCAACGTTCCATTTTAATCCACAAATCTCTTGTTTATGACTGGTAATTTTTCCAACATAATGTGAAGCATCTCTTACATCTCTATGAAGAATTGTACGATCTCTTGAACCTGAACTTAATATATGTTCATTCCAACTTAATGCATTTACTCTTCCATCATGTCCAGTCATCGTTCTTGTACATTTTGATGTAGCAGCATCCCAGATTTGAACTGCGCTATTATTAGTCCCAATAGCTAAATGACTACCAGATCCTATCCAAGATAGACTTGTAATCTTATCATTTTGACTTAAATCACATAATTTATCAACAGAACCTGATGAAGCATTCCATAGATAAACACTTGATCCTAAACCAACACCTAAAATATCTTGAGAGCCCCAATCTAACAAGTTTAAATAAAAATCATCAACCAAATCTGGAGCGTCCAAAACTCTATACGGTACTTTAGAAATGGCTCTTGGTTTTTTCGTTGGAGAAAGTAATAATCTTTGTGAATCAACCCTAACTGGAGAAAGTGAATACAAATCATTTTCTATAGAGCTCGAAGTTGGTCGACTTTTATTTGGAGATTGATATGAGAAAAGATTTGTATGATTTTGTTGATGTCTTGGAGTTCTCTGTAGACTTGATGTTGAAGTTGAAGCGGAATTATCATCTCCAGTTCTTGGTGGTGTTATTTGGGTATTATTTGATTTGTTATCTGAATCAACAGAATTTGTAGAGGAAGCACTGGGTATATTATCACCAAATAATTCATTTTTTAAGATTTTATTGAACGTTCTGCTTGCCTCTTCCTCTTTTCTATATTCTAAATCATTTGAAATTGAAGATCCCAAAGGTCTTTGACGGGTTAAGTCATCATTACTCACACTAAAAGCAGCCTGTAAATCAACACCCGATCTATTGGGTATATGACGATCACTATAAACCAACTTTTTCTTTCTTGGGGATTGTGGGATCATATGTGGGATACTTCCTAGACTTGAAGTTGTAGATCTTGATGGTGAACTTGGAGTGGTAAAGTCATCCAAATTAGATCCTTTTCTATTTGACATGACGAATAAAAGAATAAATAAATGTTATATGTAGTTCAAATGTCCGTTATTATATATTGTTCTTTCCTTAAGTGGTCAAATATATCTTTTAGTAATTAATATCAGTCAATATGCACAGAATGCAACCTCTATAACAAAAACTATAGCAAAATGCAGCAAAAAAGATATAAAAAAACAATTAAAAAAACACACTGAGCGGTATGAGTAGCAAATAAACTATTCGACCTATGTCTATAATACACCAATGTTGTGAGATGCGTTTAGTTCTTTAGCTTCTTGTTCAAGACGTTTTGTGGTTTGGACTTTCTGTGGAATCCTTTATTATCTTTGAGAAAAACACAGAATAAATTAAACATTCGCGATACTGATTATGTAAGTTCTTACAAAACAATATAAGCTAAATGCAAAGAAGTTTGACAAATTTCAGAACGAGATTTATGAGATTCAAGATGCAATATTCTTATCAGAAGTCTGTGATTTACTTACTAGAAAGATATAGTAAAGTTACTGGTAATTTGAGCAAGACGTAAAAATTCTTTGTGCAATTGGCCATTTTACTCATGCTTTTATACAATAATCATTGAGCAACTTCATCATATAAATATAATACCTCAAGAAGTTTCCTCAATTGTTAAAACCTCTCTTCATCTTTTCATGGACAATATCAATCTTATCTTGTGCGGTTTGACCCTTATCAGTTCTTGTACCGACTCTGATATCACTTTGAACTCTCAAGACACCTTCTTTATGAAGCATTTCATGGATTTGGCCAATGACATTCATACAAGTATCCCATTCACCTTCCAAAGTACTACCAGCACTGTGTAATGTGTGTTTAATACCTGTTTCTTTCAAAAGTAATTGAATTTTGGCAACTTCATCAGAGACTGATGGTGAACCTGTACCGATCTTTCATCTGTTAGTAAAGGCCCATATCATTAAAAGCGTGTGTTGATTCGGTACTCACTGGAATGACACAAACATCGGCCAAACATTTGATAGTGACTGGTTTCATTTTAGCGACAGTGGACAAAGATCTTCTGAACATTTTCTACATGAAGCAGTTGGTTAAATACAACAATTGATTTGAAATTGATTATTTTCCCGTTGTTGGTCAAACGATTGCATAAGGAGTTTTTTTTTTTTTTCAATCCTAGGTTATATGTGGTTTCGTGGTGGTTATAAAAAAATATGCATATACAGAGATTTATTTTGAATTCTCGAAATTTAATTTACAAATGTGTCAAAATTATTATGCAATTTTTACATTAATTTATACTATAGATTTAGTATAAGTTATTATTATATTAACCACTAATCAGTTCTTCTCTTTTTAGCTCTATCCCATGCTGATTTTGGTTTAGCTCTTCTTGAAGTACCTAAATCATTCTTACTATTATTGAAAATCCCCCAATCTTCACCGAAAAATGTATCAGCTTCTTGTTTTCTTTTTTGTCTTTTATCCTTCTTAGAAACATTATTTGGTAATCTTGTGAAATTACTTTCTTCATATTTTTGAATTTCTGCTTCTCTTTGACGATCTTTCATTGTTTTCATACCACCTCTACCATGATCCAAAATTGTTGAACCAATAGAATTTTCAACCATTGGTGCATCACCATTTTCCAATAAGTATTCTTCCATAGATTGCATCTTTGTAGAACCACTTTTACCACCCCTACCAGTTTCTTTAAATTCACTTGGTGGTAATGCAGCAGCAATTTTTGGTGGTTTATATTTTTCAGTTTTATCACCTTTGGATTTAGCTTCTTTAGCTTTAGTTTTTTGATCTTTTTGCATGGATTTGACTAATGATGATGCATCTGGTCTATAGTTCAGTTCATCTTCATCCTCACTATCTTCTTCTTCACTATCTTCTTCACTTCCACTTTCTTCATGTTGTTTAGCTTCTAATTTTTTACTAATATTTTGTTCACTTGAATCTTTTTCCATTTTATTATAATTTCTAACCATTTTTTCTAATTGATATTGTAATTTTTTTTCTAAATTCTTGATAGCTCTTTCTAAAACAACTCTTTGAGTCACTGAACCTTTAATAGCTTTGCTTTTCAATTCATTTATATCTTTAGCATCATTAGTTTTAGAAGCTTCTATTCTTGCCAGTATTATTAAAACCAAATTATTTAAATAAGATAAAATTGCATTATTTTTCAAGTCTAGCAAGGAAACACCTTCAGGTAAATTTTGATTAGTTTTTTGTAATAAATCTGAAACTAATTCTGGTAATTCTGGTGATTCAACTTTTTTATGAAGATTTGAGATACTATCATTTGTAGCATCAACTGAAGAAGCTATGCTCTTTATTATATCATCTAATGACTGACTCATTTTATATATGTGATGACTGAATTCTGGGTCTTTGAATATACAATGATCAAGGCTATCTTTTTTAAATTTTAAGTTATCTTTTTATCAGAGGTTTTAAAGTTTATACCGTTTTGAAATTTTTTTGAATGGTGTTGTGCGAACCGGAAAATAACTCCATACTTAAGAAAAAGGTCAGTGAAATAATCAACATCAAAATGGTAATTGTGTCCAACAAAATTGTGTTAATAAGATTGGAAAATATAGAATAATAATAGGAAGTACAGAGGTTTTCATTATTCTTCTTTATTTAATATAAAAACTCTTTTGTACTTGAGTTAAAGCAAATTGATTGCTAGCTCATCGCATGTGTTACCCTCTTCACAGCTACATAAAATTTTTTTTTTAGAAAATCCCTATACATAAATTTCTTTTAGATAAATAAAAATCTTATAATACCAACTACTTTATCACAGTTCTTCAGGCTTTTTTCAATTCAGAAAGAACTTAGATTTCAATCGAAACAAAATGGTATGTGATATCAATGCAATATTTAGCTTAGCTCCCTTTGTTAACTAACAAATCTTTTTAGCCTCAAAACGAATATATTGAACAACATATTAAACAACATGGTCGTCGTTTAGATCATGAAGAAAGAAAACGTAAGAAGTTGGCAAGAGAAGGCCATAGAGTTGCTAAAGATGCTCAAACCTTAACTGGTTGGAGAGCTAAACAATTCAACAAGAAACGTTATGCTGAAAAGGTTGCTTTGAAGAAGAAAATTAAAGCTCATGAAGAATCTAAAGTTAAAGGTCCAACTGCTCCAGTTGAAGACGATGGTGAAGCTTTACCAACTTATTTATTAGACCGTCAAGATCAAAATTCAGCAAAGGCAATCTCTTCATCAATTAAACAAAAAAGAATGGAAAAAGCTGATAAATTTTCAGTTCCATTACCAAAAGTTCGTGGTATAAGTGAAGAAGAAATGTTCAAAGTTGTTAAAACTGGTAAATCTAAATCCAAAGCTTGGAAGAGAATGATCACTAAACATACTTTTGTTGGTGAAGGTTTCACAAGAAGACCTGTAAAGATGGAAAGAATTATTAGACCTTCAGCTTTAAGACAAAAGAAAGCTAATGTTACACATCCAGAATTAGGTGTCACTGTATTTTTACCAATCTTGGCTGTTAAAAAGAATCCTCAAAGTCCAATGTATACACAATTAGGTGTCTTAACTAAAGGTACCATTATTGAAGTCAATGTTAGTGAATTGGGTATGGTTACTGCAGGTGGTAAAGTTGTTTGGGGTAAATATGCACAAGTTACCAATGAACCGGATAGAGATGGTTGTGTCAATGCTGTCTTATTGGTCTAAGTTGTGTCATAGAATGTATTTTTAAAAAAAGTAGAATTGAGGATACAGTGTTTTTGCATTTAATTATTTTTGTTGTTTCACAAAGTATTTACATTACAATATTAAGTATGGTTTTCGTTTTTGGTTTAGTTTCTAATGAATGGGTTACTCTATGGATTATAGTTGTAGTTAATATCTCAAAGTACTTAATAATTATTGAGTCAAATATCAAATTGCCCCATAGTTTGGCTATATGTCTTTATTGACACTGCTCAAATCTGGCAGATTTTAGCGTGTTTAATTTGATGTGATAAAATATCAAACAATTAAGGAATTCATTCTTTTATCAAGTAATACTTCCAACTAGTATCCATTCCCTTCAAACAAAGTTCAAGTTATACTCAATCAAGTTATATCCAAGTTCAAACTATATCAAATCAGTTCAATAAATTACTAAACAATATGCAATTCTCAACAATCTTCACTGTTTCAACTTTTGCTTTATCAGTTTTATCATTACCAGCTCCAGAAATTGTTACTGAAACTGAATATCATACTGTTACTGTTAGTGGTTCATCATCATCATCAGCTACTGGTTCAATTCCAAATGGTATTCCAACTGGTGGTTTCAATTCAACAAATGGTTATAATTCAACTCAACCAGGTTTGAACTCAACAGTTCCATTATCAAATGGTACTATAAAATTAAGGCTGTTAATAGGCAATTATATACACCAATGATACAAAACCTACCAATATCAATAAGAGCTGAAGCTATTTCAATATATTGTCTGTCAAGAATCTATTATTATGATGTTTTTGATCCAATTTCGGAAAACCATATCAC